GTCGATTGTCTAGAGTCCTTCTAGCAAGCTGTAAATCCTTAGTGATAGTCGCTCTTTTGGCATGTACTATATACAAATTTGTATTTTCAAAAAATTCAACAAGATATGCTTCAGCACTTTCTTGAAAAGTCTCAACAACACTTCTGAAATCGTAAATTTGTCAAGATATCTCTTTCACCAGTTTTTCGAATGGGAGTTTTTTATTATCAGTTTTGTGTTTTTTATGGTATTTTCTGATTTCTCTCAGTGCCACTGTTCCTGGCATGCATGTATATATTTTTGTAGCATTTTAACTATTTTCTTTTCTATAATTGATTGTTTCCTATCTTCGTCACCGAATCAATTTGGAAAATAAAATAGTTAAAGAGTCAAACAAATACATGCTAGAAACAATGGCACTAAGAGAGATCCAAAAATATCATAAAAACACGAAGTGAAAGATAAAAAAAAATTCATTTCAGAGACTAGTGAGAGATATATTAATGACTGATTTATGATTCCAGAACGGAGTTGTTGAGGCTCTCTGAGTACTTGTTAATGCTTATTTTGTTGAGTTGTTTAACGATACAAATTGAGTAGTAATGTCAAAAGAGGAATTATCTAGTTGAAATCATGATATTGTGTTCAGTTGAGGCTTCTTTCCACCAGTTATCTGAAGTGAAATATCATATACAAGCCAACAATTAGTTAGTAACCCATCTAAAGAGAGAGGGCTTATTCAAGTGTCATTAACAATCAATTTTTTGGGACCAAAATTTCCTATTTCTAAAAATGCAATTACAAAAAAATAAAATTATGGTCCGATTCGCGCCTAAAAAATAGTGGTGGCAACGGATTTTGAGGTGGTATGAAAGTTAGTTGTCCGAAACAAAATGTTAAAAGAGAATATAGTATAGTCAGAGGCGGTAAAAAAATACAATATGAACATATATTTTGATTGGTAATAATGTGACTACAATAATAAAAGATAATAAAATTTTAAAAAATCAATTTTAAATATATATATATATATATATAAATATATCATTAAAATAAAAAAAAATTATTTAAAAAATTATGTGTATTATCTAAGTAAAAGTAACGCTACTTTATAAGAATTAAAGATTTTCTAAAAAATCTAATAAGGTAAGAAATTAATCTAAACATCCAATGAGATTTCAAATACGAGGATAAAAATATCGTTTACATTATCTAAGTAAAATTAGCGTTATTTTTATTTTGTATAACCTCATTTTACTACGTCAACTTGTACTATTCAAATACAAAGAAAGTAAAGTATTTGCTGATTAAAAAAATAAAAAAATACTTACGATTTAGTAAATTTGATGGTCATCGCAACAAATCACGACACTTTTAAGCTCCATTTGAATTGAGAAAATTAGCCCATTAATCAGTGCTTTAATCTCTACTTCTTCGTAAAGTATTTCCATGGTTGTTTATTGCCTATATTTTCTCCGTAAAGTACTTTTTTCCAAAATTTGAAGCTTAATATAGGCACTAAACAACCATGGAAAAACATGATCTAAATTTTATTTCCAAAAAACGGCGGATAGATTATGCGACAATCGAAGATATCCCCAACATTATTTAAACAATGAAGGGATTGTCTTTTAAGATTTCGGATATCTTCGATTGTCGCATAATCTATCCGCCATTTTTTGGAAATCAAATGTTGATCATGTTTTACCATGGTTGTTTAGTACCTATATTATGCTTAGAATTTTGGAAAACAAAATACTTTACGGAGAAAATATAGGTACTAAACAACCATGGAAATATTTTACGAAGAAGTAGAGATTAAAGCACTGATTCTAAGCATAATTGTCTCAATTCAAATGGAGCTTTAAAATATTGTGATTTGTTGCGATGACCATCAAATTTACAAAAATTGTAAGTGTTTTTTTTGTTTTTTTTTTATCAGCAAATGATTTAGTTTCTTTGTATTTGAATAGTACAAGTGGACGTAGTAAAATGAAGTGGTACAAAATAAAAATTACACTAATTTTACTTAGATAATGTAAACAATATTTTTACCCTCGTATTTGAAATCTCATTGGATGTTTAGATTCATTTCTTATCTTATTAGATTTTTTAGAAAATCTTTAATTCTTATAAAATAACGTTACTTTTACTTAGATAATACACGTAATTATTAATGATTTTTTATTATAATATATATATATATATATATGTACCCACATTATTACCAATCAAAATATATGTTCATATTGTAATCTCTTACCGCTTCTGACGATACCATATTCTCTTTTAACATTTCGTTTCGGACAAACTTTTATACCACCTAGAATTCTGTACCACCATTATTTTTTAGTCATGAATAGGGGCCATTCTTTTAATTTTTGGGGTTGCATTTTTGGAAATTAGAAGTTTTGGTCTCAAATGATTGATTGTAAATACACTAGAATAAGCCATCTCGCTTTAGATTGGTTATTAACTAATTGTTGGCTTGTATCTGATTATTCATTCCAGATTACTGCTGGAGAGAAGCCTCAAACAATTTCGTGGACGCATTATTTATTTTCTAATAAAAAGTCATAGTAAGCGTATATTGTACAGCATCAATCGAGTCTGATCTCTTAGTTATTTTACAAACAAATTATTGTACAACATCAATCGAGTTTTACCAGTCGCTATTTCGAGCTCGTGGCAAGAACCTCCAACGCCACAGCAAGAGACATCGGTAAGAGTGTTACTGGTAATGAATATGAGAATATCTACAATGAAGTAAAGAGAAAATATCTAACAAAAACACTGAAATATAAACCCTCTTCTGGTCCTTAGTGAATTGGTGATGTTGGTCGTGGTGGAGCAAACATAAGTAACTCTCAGTTTAGTCTCCTCAACTAGATGCACCGATTCTTTCCTAAACTGCAAAGTTTCTCATTAGAAGAAAACGAAACAAATTCTAAGGAACCAAAAACAAAACTGTGATTATCCATCAAATCAACAATGTGAATGATCAGTACTGTCTCACGAGTAACTTCTTTGGCTGTGACTCCAGGACTAGCTATTACACTTTGAATCATAAACTTTTCATTGCTCTGCATATCAGAAGGAGCTTCCTTTTGAGCTTGCATTGTCACTAGACAAACACCAAACAAAGAATCATCAGCAAATTCCTAATCCAAGAACCAGTTTGCTATAGTTGAAGAAAAAAAAAAAATAGTTTCCCCAAGAAAAAGATTAGAGAACGGACCAAGAACTTTACAAGTCGACGACTTTGGAAGAATAAGTCCATAATTAGGCCTAACGCAATAATTTTTCGGGTTTGTTGTCTTAACCTAAATTTTTTATAACAAAAACAAAAAAAAAAACCCCGAGAAACCTTAGAAACATACAAGAGATAATCACAACTATTTCTTGATTTCTAAATCTTGTTTTTTTTACCTTCAAGGCCACGTTATTTTCTGTCTTGTTCGTCAAGTTAAGAGAGCAAGACATCTGCTTCTTCAATTCAACTACATCAACTCAGCGAAGTAAATAGTGAAATTTAATATCAAACCATAACTCATCAAAATTTAGTTATGGCCATGGGACAAGAAAGACATGCAAAATCATGAAGAAAGGAAAAGTCAAAATAAAAGCTTACAAGGGAATTGAAGGTACATAGGCTCGATTTTGAGAAGCTCGCTGTTACTCATCTCCATAAGATCGCTGGAGATTCAAACTTTTTCCGGCTATTATATTCGTCACGTGACGCCGTGTCCGATCTCCAGAGAGAGAGATAGAGGTCGAATGAAGAGAGTCAGGATTTGTCTTCTTATGACAAATGGTAGAATTTTCTGTTCAACTAAAAAAACTGTTCATTCTTTGAAAAGTTTGAGGAATAATCAGCTAAAACATTTGTTACACTACTATTATTTAATTAAACTGAAAATTTAAATCTCTACCAATCTTCCACTCCCCTTCCGTGTCCACTAGGTAGCTTCTTGCACAAGAATGAATTTATTTTTAATAAAATAACTTGATTGTAGACTTGTAGTTAACAACATGATTTAATTATAAGATTTATTTAAGAAAAAAAGACATAACTTTTAGTGTTAATTTTGTGGAACCCAATAGTCAAAGGTAAGGTTTTCTGTATTTAGGACCTGGAGGATTGCGGACTTTGACCCAAAACCTTCTCATATTGAAAAAGAAAAAAAAAAAAAAAAGCTTTATGTATTAAATATGGGGTTATATTCCTAGAAACTAGAAAGTGCACTTTTTGCAAATTAGTGGTGCAAGGCAAAACAGAAATTTTAGAGTATTGCAGATAGAGCCGTCCCTCGTGGTTTCGATTTCAAGGATAAAATTGTTCATCGTTGGCAGGCCCGATCCGTCCATAAAGCAGCAAACCTTACGCATTAGGCTACAAATTATAAATAAGAAAAATGAGGCCGTATTTCTGAAAAGTCCCAATAGTCCAGTGACAAAACCTGTGTAGGAAATGTTTATTCTCTCTGAGGAGTCTCCATAGATGATGCTTTTAAAAAAAATTCAAAGCCAAATATGCTTTAGGCCACATAAATTGTAGGACCGCGCCTGATCGTTGGTATGAATCGTTAGTAAGAGATTTGAGTGTTGTGGAGAGAAATGCACGTCATGAAGTTATTGGTGAAACCGTTCCATCACAATCACATCGCATGTGTTGTACATATGTAATCATGTAAACCTTAACATTATAAATAGGATTAAATCTCTCTCTATATATATATATATATATACATGACTCAAAATATGTATGATGAAAATATATCATACAACTAAAAAATCTACTAATGTTAATTAAACTGACAAGTTTTGTGTATCGGAAAAGTCGTTATTCAACTTTCAATAAACTGTACAATGTTTTATCTTGAAACCAAAAACAACTCATTCTGCTTCTATTAATGATCCGAAAATGTATCTTGACGATCCAATAATACTTTTCTAATTGAAAATTTTCGAGCTTGATTAAGTTTTTGATCTTCATTAAGACATTAACTATCTATAAAATAGTCAGTAGCTATCTTTCATTAGTGATAGTAACAAAACAAGTAAAGCCAGCTACGAAGATTATTAGAAAGAAACATTACAAATCTTAAAATGAAACGTATGACTATTTGAACTCCACTGAGAACACTAGACGTTAAGAAACACAAAAAAAAAAAAAAAAAAGAGTGAAGTGAGAACTAATGCTGTTTTCGTCTTCTTGAAACAATCTCCGATGCCCAAGCCTTGCCTATATCAGTCTGGAACTTCCCTGCATCAAACACCAACAAGCTTAAAGCCTTCAACTATATATACAGATTATGTATTTGTATTATGATTTACAACAGAAATTACCTGCGGTTGATTGGAAAAACTCTTCTAGATCTTTCCCTTGCTCTGCGTTAAATAGCAAACAAAACAATATGAGTTTTTAGTTTCTGCTAAATTTGTTCTCAAAGAGGTCATTCATTACCTTGTTCATATTCCAAAGCTTGTAGTATCAGCTCAACTTTATCGAAATCTTTAACAACTTTGGCTTCAGGTGAAGAGTTCTCTTCGTATTCTCTCCAAAGCTCAGCGATTTCTTTGGCTGCACAATTACCATATATACACATTCTTAGAAGTGATTAGTGTTATGCAAACGAGTACAACATCATCAAGATAGTACATTTCTAGAATGAGAAAAGAGAACAGACCTCTTTCTCCTCCACCCAAGAGTTTGCACATGTGTTCAAGCGCTTCGCTTTCTCTTCGGTTTTTCTCTTCTTTAGAGATCCCACAAGACGGTGTAATGTCTCCTACAATGGCTGCTCAACAACAATTCGACTAAGTAACCCGTGATTAAGAAAGTCGATGATTAAACTCTCTAAAAGTGAAAGAACTAACCTTCTGCGATATCATGAACAATTGCCATTTTCATGCATCTGTAGATAGAAAGCATGGATATAAGAGGAGTTTATATTCCAGCAATTGAAACTTGGAGCTAAAGACGAAGCAAGCAAGAAACTTACTTGTCTCTGTTAACACCAGGGATATCTGAAGAAATTAGAGCCATAAGACCCATCCGATACATGTGATCCGCTATTGATTCTGGATCTTTGACATCTCTCTTAATCCATCCAGCTCTTGGAGTTGTCTATTTGATATACAAACATGGTTTACCAAACAATACAACACACAAATTCCGATATATAAATCAGCAAACAAAAAGTCACTAGATTCACATAAAAACACGACAAACTTCACATCTACAAGGGACTTTAGTAATCACAGATCATAAAAGTAACCACATAACTCGAAATCGTTTCATTTCCCTAAACAAATTCCACAATCCATCAACAGATTCAGCCAAGCTTAACAATGTTTCATCTCCGTAACACACTATAGATTCCAATACAATCCATCAAGCATGAAACGTTTCAAGCTATCGCCACACATGCTCTTTAAACAGTTACAATGCATTGCATTCTACAATCCATCAACAATGTAATCTCCAAACAGATCAAATCTTACATTAGTAACAAACATCCACACAAATATGAACAACGCATCATCTTTATAATGCGTTGGAGGTTTCAGACCAACATCTGTATCAAGTTCTACATTCTCAGAGATTCTATAGATAAGAATTACAAGCAAAGAAATTGCTTAACCACTGAAACCAAAACTCACCATATTCACATGGAAACACACAAACAAAAAAACTTCACATCTACAAGGACTTAGATCAAACAAAGTAACCACATAATCAATTCATCAACAAGAACAATCGCATCATCTGATCAACATTACATTGCGTCGTATAATCACAGAAACCAACGGATCTTAGCTAAAACATAAGGCGGATCAATCAAAGCTTACCTTGAGACGAGTACAGAGAGAGAGAAAATCAATGGCGGAAGAAGCGGACGAAGAAGAAGAAGTGGGAACCGCGGCGACATTAGGAGGAGAAGAGACGGAACTATCTCCGGATTGAGGGGAATCGGAAGCCATGCAGTGAATAGCTAGATTCGGAGAAGAAGCTCCGGCGGCGGAGTAAGTGAATCGGAGATGAGAACGAGTGAAAGAAGGAACGAGGAAGACGAGAGAGAGTGATTTGCAGAAGAAGACTCGATTCACATTCTTCATTTTTTTTTTTTTTTTTGCTTTATCTTTCTTTTGGTTTTTGGGAATCGTGTTGTTTATTTTGTTACCTTAACTGTTTCGATTAGTTTTGTTTTCCTCTGGAGATTTTAATTGGGCTTTTATTATATGAAAACCCAATAGTGAGTGTAATGGGTCTTTAATTCTGTATTATTCTTTAATGGAAACAAGATGCACGCGCCTTAAGTGTGGTTGTAAGATTGTGCTGATGATGGCGCGTGCATCTTGTTTCCATGTGACCAGATTCCACAATTGGGTGAAGGAATGCACCTTCAACTTTAGTGTTGTCAAAGCTCTCTCGTGCAAATCTTTTGATTTCAGAAAGACATCAGCCTGGAGTATGAAAAAGGTGATCACTAAGCGAAAATTCGGTCTGTGTTAAGTTCAAGTCAGAAGTTAAGGCCTGAATTACAGCGACAAGCAACTTGAAGAGAGTTTGTCAGGCCATGATGTATGGTTTTTGAACTTCTCATTCTCTGTTGTTTTGAAAATAGAAGAATGCTTATCGTGTACAAATAATCGTGTAACAAAGAAAACGTGGAATTATTGAACTTTTTCTATTACGAGTGATTTGATTTCACCGAGTAAAATCCACTAATCGTCGTTAGTGGGCGGGTAACCAAAATATAAATGATTCAATTCACACTAACTTCACAAGCGTCAAAAATAATATTTAGGTGGCATAAAAAAAAAGTATGATGTTCACTTGAATCAACATTTTAAGAGTGTTTACATTAAAAAGAATTATCTTTTTAATGAATAATTTGTTTAATTGTCTAATAGTTGAATACATATTCCTTCTGTGGCTCTGAGTGTACAAGTCAATAATAATATAAGAAAATGATCGAAGCTAGTTGTTTTGTTGGTCCAACGTTATTGAACTTAGTGGCATCCACTTCAGAGCTCACTCTATCTCAAACCTTCTATAAATACACTTAACATATTTTGATTCTTCTATCCAACCAGCCTTAGAGAAATAAAGCACAAACGATAATTCTTAGATAGAAAGTATTCTAAAATGGCTAGGGTCCATGGTCTGGTTCTCATGAGTTTATTGGTTATTTCGAGTTTGGTTATGTTAACCGAGAGTCGGGTTGCAAGGAAGGACTAATACGATGTAGCCACATAGATGAAGAACTCCAACGGGTATATACGGATCCGATGGGGTGATGACATGATGTTGCTGTGAATTATGAGCATGAACCAATTGATGAGTTCGTTCAATTCACATGGTGACGTAAGATGATGGAGATACACAACTACTAAAGTATCTTCCATTGAATTGATGATCTTATGGCTAGGTATAAACGCCATTGATGACCCTATAGTGGGTATGATGACCGTGAAGACGATCTTATGGCTATACGTGTCGATCTCGTAATCCCCGAGATCTCCTAACAGTTTTCAAGTTAGTATACCTGCAGTTTAGATTTGGGCTTTTCAAATGAAGAAACGGACTAAAAGGCGTGAAAAGAAGAGAAGATCTATTAAATGAATCTTAATTTTCGGATTACTAAACTGTCTTATTGGGGACTAAACTATTATCATGTACGTCCTCTTATATCGAAAAAAATCTTTAAAAAGTATATTTCATAATATTGGACTTAAACTAAATTAAATATAGCAGCCACAGATTGACTGATTATTTGTTTGTACACAATTTTGGTGTCTCCAGCCTTTGTTTTCTCTTTGCATATGCATATAGTTGAGGATTGACCGTTGATGAATGATGAGTAAATAGAAGATTCCATCAAATTCAGAAAGGACATCAATGTGTCACATGGATGTCTTATGTGGATTTGATACTCATATGTTGTAATGTGATTGGTCATTTACCTAAAACGCGAAAATTTTCTCAGACAAATTGTCGATATTGAAATATAGTTAGACTTAGATAACACTTAATATAAGATAAATTCATACTCCTAGTTTACATATGTTAAGATTGACAATATTGTCTTCTATTTATCATTTTCAATCAAGTTATTATAAGATAAATTATCAATTTATCATAAGAAATATTTCAAGGAATTTACACCGTATTAATCAAAATATGACTGATAATTTTCTAATTCAATTTTGTAGATTCTGAGGTACTACTAATGGGAGAATTTATTTAAATTAGAACGGAAATACATCACAAAAAAGCTGTTACTTGTGATGTACATTCATTGAATTTATAACAGCTTAGATAAATTTATTCTGACTAAGTCATATAATTGTAATCTATACAGTAAAATCAAAACAAATTTATATTTTTTATTTTTTTGTAAATAACATTTATGCGTGTATGAACTTGAATAGTGACACAATAATAACATTAACAAGAACTATTACGACTGAAAAAAAAAAAAAAAAAAAAAACAAGAACTATTAGTATTACGATACATTTTTTATCATACCACAATTACAAGTAAAATGATATTTTGTTAGTACGTACAGTCTATAAATTAAATTAGACATTAGACCGCCCAGACCAAAATCCAAATTTATATCGTTTATAACCAGCCATATTTAGCAGTACGAGACCTCTAAGATGGACTACTATAGATTGTTTTAAATATCAAAAATCGTTATCCCATCAAATTTTACAATAGTGATTCAAAGGAACCATTAAAGAAAAAACAAAACAACAACAACGCAACGCAGCCTGTGTTCATTTCAGACGATCTAAATATGTTTTTAAATAAGAGTTTAATGTCATTTGATTCTTCCCATTATCTATTTTCTATAAATAGGTTAGGTATCAACGCAGCCTCCAAAAGACCAAAAGCATAAAAACAAATTGCAATTTTTCCAGTGGCATATGTATATAACTATATATTAGTCACTTAATTTTCATTAAATAAGTTGTATAACGATGTTTCAAATTAATATAAGTTATTTTGACGAAAAAAAAAAAAAAAAAAAAAAATACGAGTAAAACGTTGACAAAAAATACGAGTAAACAAAAACAAATGGGACTTTGAAAACGTTTCCATCTTGCTCACGCAAGTAAAAACAAAAGGAAAAAGAAATACTCAATTATTTGACATAGTAGAAATAAGATAATCATATGAAAGTGAAAGCCATTTGATCTGTCAAAGGTTTAATGGTTTTATATTAGGCTGAGGTATGATTTTCAGACAATTGTTTAACTTAAAAACTGTAGATACAAAAAAGTTCAAAATTTCAGCATATAGCATATATAAATGTTTTTTTGTGATATCATGTATTACAAATAAAATTATATATCATAAGTTTATAAGTTATAAACATAAACAGAATCGGTCTTTAATTTTTAGAAGGTCACAACCGAGGAAAGAAAATAAGAGTTTTTTTAACGATTTTTATAATTTAAAAAGAAAAAACTTAAGAAATTTCAAAATAAATATGGTGGGTAAACAAAACTTTTTTAATTTATTTGTTAAGACATTTCCCTAACTATTTTATTTATTTACTAATCCTTGATTTATGCTGAAAAAAATACTGAAATAAAATATTTTATAATTCATGATTACTTAACTTAGTCTAAAATCCGGTTATGGTCATAAACTATGTATTGTGAGAAAATTAGTCAGTCTTAAATTTTTTTAAAAAATTATTTCATTGTAAGTTAAATTCAATCTATAAATTATAAATTTTTATTTAATAATCATAATAAGATAAGATCAAATATAGAAAAAAATATACACAAGAAAAACTAAAATATCAAAAGTCATTATCCAAAAATCTCCACCACTCGCGAAAAAGCGCGTGGAAGTTAAAGAGTCATCATTCTTCGAAAATGCAAACCAAGTCTTCAAGTCTCAACTACCTCCTAAAGACAAATCAGAACCAAACCAAACGAAACTTCTCTGCAATATCCTCTCGAAATTTCCTCACTTTCACGCGTTTCAATCTTCTCTATATAAACTTATTTCCGCAAACACATCAAAACCCACTCAAATCCCGTCTCTGTGTTCCTCAAATTCTCTATCTTTCTCTGATTTCATCTTAAGGGTTCCTCAAAGTTTCAATCTTTCTCTCTGAATCTAAACCATGGCTCGTTGTAGCAACAATCTCGTAGGGATACTAAATTTCCTTGTCTTTCTTCTCTCAATCCCAATCTTAGCTGGTGGAATCTGGCTAAGCCAAAAAGGGTCAACAGAGTGTGAAAGATTCCTAGACAAACCAGTGATTGCTCTTGGTGTTTTCCTTATGGTTGTAGCAATAGCTGGTTTAATAGGTTCTTGTTGTAGAGTCACATGGCTTCTTTGGGTTTATCTCTTTGTCATGTTCCTTTTGATTCTACTTGTGTTCTGTATAACTGTTTTTGCCTTTGTTGTTACTAACAAAGGAGCTGGTGAAGCTATTGAAGGAAAAGGTTATAAAGAGTATAGACTTGGTGATTACTCTACTTGGTTACAGAAACGTGTTGAGAATGGAAAAAATTGGAATAAGATTAGAAGTTGTCTTGTTGAGAGCAAAGTTTGTTCTAAGCTTGAAGCTAAGTTTGTTAATGTTCCTGTCAATAGTTTCTACAAAGAACATCTTACTGCTCTTCAGGTAAAAAGTTTGACTTTGATTTGTTTCTAAAGTTTTGTCTTTTATTTTAGGGTTTTTTAGTGAATTGTGTGATTAAAGACTTAGAAAGAGATTGAGCTTTTTGTGATCTCAGAACTTTTTGAACATAAAAGTTTTAATTTTATATTTAAAGTTTCAACCTTTTTTAATTTGAGAATCATGATTTATGAATCTGAACCATAGACATATGTTTTAGTTTTGAATTTGACTCAAATTGATTTAGTAGTTTGTGGAATTGCTAAAATTTTGATCAAAGACTTGAAAAGGATTGACCTTTATGATCCATGATCCATAAAAGTTCTCTTTTAGTGATCTCAAAGGTTTGATTTTGTAACATATCTTTTAAAAATTCAATTTTTAACACAAAAATTTGACTTTTTGATTCAAAGTTTCAACCTTTTTAAATTGAGAATCATTAGACATGAGATCAAGGACCTTTTCATGTTCTGTTCTTAGCACTTATGTATGAATTTTCGTTTGTTTGATAGTTTCTGAAGCTGAATCTTTGTGAATGTTACTCTCCCTTAAGGCTATAATGTTTACTAATGAATCATTGTTTTGTGTTACAGTCTGGTTGCTGCAAACCTTCAGATGAATGTGGTTTTGAGTATGTAAACCCCATAACTTGGAACAAGAACACAACGGGAACACACAACAATCCCGACTGCCAAACATGGGACAACGCGAAAGAAAAGCTCTGCTTCGACTGTCAATCTTGCAAAGCGGGTCTACTCGACAACGTCAAAAGCGCTTGGAAGAAAGTTGCAATCGTCAACATCATCTTCCTTGTCTTCCTCATCATTGTCTACTCTGTTGGTTGCTGTGCTTTCAGGAACAACAAGAGGGATGATAGTTATACCCGTACCCACGGATATAAGCCTTGAACATAGTTTAACCGGTTTTAGGACAGAGATTCGTTGATCGGTTTATACATTATGGAGTTTGCTTTTTATGTTTGATGGTTTTTATTTTGGTGTTTTGTTGAGACATATTGCTTGTACAGCTCACTTATTATCAGTGTGTTCTGCCTTTTGGGCTAAACCTTGATATTGATTTATTATATGCTTTTATTAGTTCATTGTTTCTCTTTATACATATCATTTTCTTTTGATCTTCTAAGGAACAGAGAAGCAACAAAAAATTTGTTTAGGCATTTGGTTCTTCTATGAAAATCATTGGTGACATATGGACTGAAGAGAACCTCGGATATTTTTTTTCGCCCCGGCGATAAGAGCTTCTATCGGTTCTGTGTTTGGGGATTGATGTGATGTCTATCGGATTAACAGAATTGTGTTGGTTAAGAAGTAGAAACTGAATTGACTAATACTCTAGAGAAGAACTCATGTATTAAGATAAAAGTCTAAGAGAAACGATGTAATAACACATCAAACATAATGAATGGTTCCTGACACATTAACTAGAGTTTCAGATATTGATCAAACTGAGATTACCTCACATACATCATCATCATCTGAGATCACCTCAACAGGGTAATCATGAAGTCCCTTTTTGGAGACTGTGAGAAGCATCTCGGTCGGTTTGATGAGCTTGAACGTGCAAACATCTCCGACCACTAAACCTAACTCTTTGACCAAACGAATCCATCCAGCAATGAATCTTGACTGTTCTGACCTGATTCATCCAAAATCAACCACAAAAGTAAAGACTGTCTTGTCTTCTTCATCTTCTTCATCCTAAGCAAGTAAAAGCAATCATGGAGATGATAACTTACAGTTACAGCATGAAGAAGCAATAGTTTCAGAGCTGCGTGGTCTAAGTCTCCTTACCGTCTATTCGGAAGATGTCTACGCTAAAGCACATATTTCCTTTGTGTGTGAAGGTAAGAAACTCGTTATTACCTAAACCATTGTCACTCAAAAACTTGTCCCAGCAACTTTTTCTCCATGTAGTAGAAACTTGAGTTTCTTGAGACTTTGATTGGCCATGAGCTTCCCCATGACACTTTCAACATCATTTTAGCCAAGAACTCCTTGTCCGAGATAATTTTCACGAAGTTGAGAGGAATCGCTCTCTTTAGACATATAATAAGAACATTATTTGTCAAGAAAGGATAAAAAAACAGAAGAAGGACAATAAACAAACAATGAAACAGAGGAAAAACTTCACCAAGAACAAACAGATCTATGTTAGTCAGACCACAAGACAGCATTGGAAGAACCAAATGCTTATATCTTTTAAGAGAGTTACCATTATTAGAGGCCACAAAGAAGCCCAATCAAGAGAAGCCCATTAGCTATGGAATTAGATTTAAGCAAGTAGAAATATATGTAGGTGCTGTCCAAAAAAAAAATATATATATATATAGTTTTGTAATCTTATCAAAGTAATTAACTTTGGAGTTGCTATTGAGAGCAACTCTCCTCTTTCTCTTTGTATGAAATCAAATCTAAAGTCTTTGAGTTTTTGGTGACAACATAAACCTCTCTTCCTCTTTTAGTTTCTTTGCATAATAAAGCTCTTAATGAGCTATCTAATTTCAGTTTTATATTTCTCTTAATAAGCTCATTTGAGCACAAATCTATCTTGCTTTAGAAATGCTTTCAACCAGTATTTCGGACGATAAATCTTCCTTTCGAAGGATCTTGAAGAAAACGCAAATGGAGAAAACGAAACGGCTAGTTTTAGAGCAGTTTGCTAGTTTTAGTGATATGATGAATCATTACTCTTTTGTTCATGTATAAAGAAAACAAAAGGGAGGTATTATTACCTCACTACTCTTACAAATTTGTCTGACTATGGCTTAAAGCCAATTTTAATTAGATTTATAAAAACAAACAAAAAAAAACATGCATGGGTTCAAAATCTATCCATAGTTAATGCATGACGTGTATGTTATTTTTAATGAAAATGTGATGTAACAGAAGTAGGAATTTCTATGATACTTTTTTTTTTTGGTTAATACTTAATTTTACTACTATATTATTCAAAATTTAATTTAAAATCTAGTCACTAACTAGGATGAAGGATCCACCTTAGATTGAAAGTATGATAGAAATTTTAGTAAATTTGCTTACCAGTTAGGGATTTATTGAACGTAGGAATTTTATCAAAGTTGAAGAAGCAAAATATTATATATATATATATAGTGTTATTCATGTACGTATTTCATAGAATCTCTTAGATTTTATTGTTATTCAGGTTATTGATTTTAAAATTCTATCATATGCTAGTGTTATTCGATGTTATGATGGTTTTTGACATTTGCTTGGAATTTAAGGGAGCTAAGTTTAGTTTTGCGTGGTTGACTGGTATTTTATTGAGCTTGACGTTTTGGAGATAATAAGTTAAAAATGAATTTTATCATAACTAGCACATTTGGTTTGAAACTTTTCTCGAATGCCACAATTGAAAACTCTTTCTGAAAATATCACAAATGTGCTTTTAGCATGTGACAAGTGGACTATTATATAATCTGTTGAGTTGCCACTAGTTGGGGAGTTTCCATTGTAAGAGCCGATGAACTCTTGACATGAAAATTTCATTCTTTGCTCAAACAATGCTCTGGTATATTCTAAGTTAGGAAAAAACATGTTTTTAGCTCTTCAAGGCACTATGGAGGAAAGAAAGATCATTAATCTGAGAGAACACTTGTAGCTAACGCCCCGCAGGCTCGAGAAACAACTTGAACCAGCCTAATAACAAAATAAACCAAATAGTAGATCCGAAAACAGATTTCTCATGAAACTATACATCATTGATCTATATATCAACAAAACCCTAGTTATGTTTAACGTTGAAATCTTCTTCTATGTCGTCCATACCAGGAAGCACTTCCCAGTTGTTGATGCGTCTCGCAAAACCCAGATGTTGAGTTCCGAGTTAATATTTTGCGAATGTTAATGTATAATTTCAATGGTTTTAATCAAGAAAAATTTGCTTTCGTTTCATGTTTGGTGACGCAAAAAACAGTCACTAATAAGTTGATGATATAGACATCGAGCCAAGCTAACGAAACTTTCTAAAGGTAACAAAGATCTTACTATTACATGTTTGTGAGTAAATTTGGTACGACTCGATCCATTGGTAGCCTTTTCTTTATTAATTCGAGGATTATGTGGTTTTAAATTTCAAAGAACAGTTTGTAGAATTTGTTTTGTGTTTTCATATTTGAGAATTAATGTAACACAAATGTTTAGACATTTGAAAATAATTTTGTTTGCTTTATATTTGGTATGCTTTATTGAAGACCAAACATATATTATCAAAAGGGGATCTGTTCGACTGGCATAACAAAACCAAACTGTGTAAACTACTTCATCTAATCGTTTGTGTAAACTAGGGTAATTTTAGGTTTATGGAATTTGTGGCCATGATTATAGACTTTTCTGCCCGAGTTTAATTCCTATAGTCCAGGATTAACCTAGTGCATATATAGGGGGCTGCCTCTCGCTAAGTCGGACCCTTGGATTAGTCGGGTTTATTAGTGATGTCGGATGGTTGTATTAGTCATGGTGCTAATAAAGAAAGTTTAACCTTACTTTTTTTAATCCGATAAAGTAAAAAAAAAAATTATGGGGATAGGTTTGGGGTTAAGGTAAACCGAATAAACCAAGTGTCTTATGTATTTTGTTTCCAACGAAATTCAATAAATATATCTATCTCCACCATTGATGTGTTTCCTCGGCTCAAGAGCCTAGTACTTCATGAACATTACGGTTTAAAAGGTAAAGCAGATTAAAACAAAAGAGTAGGAGTGTTTGAATGCAATCAGCTTGAGAATACAAGCAATTCCAACAACAGGCTCCATAACAAAGCATTCACCACTCCACAAAGTATAATCAAGACAATTGATCGACTGATTCGTGACGCAATTCTCGCAAGACGAAAGCGCAAAATTATGGTGACCTAATGCAAAGTTGGCTCACCTTTGAATGATCTATTTAAAATGTTCTTAGGTTCTTCCTTGAATTTTTTTTTTTTTTTTTTTTGGTAAGGAATAACTTTCATGGTTAAGCTCTTTTTGTAAATTTTACAAACCCTCTCATATTCCTTAATGAAATCAAATTCATATCAAACAAATTATATATATATCCGATAATGTTCGCAGTGTTATTCATTGCAGATTCGTGATTCACAATATATATGTTTATAAATGAATATCATTATGCTAAGTCTGAACTGGGGGATTCTTAATTTGGACACTAAACTACTAAAGAATCAAATCCATGTAGAGGACGTACGTAAAGTTGTATTAAGTTCAAGTAAATATTGCGTGAAAATGAGGATTAGTGCTTTAATTTTGTAAAAAATTAAAGGAAACGTGCAGAGAAGATGAAGTAGTCTCTCACGAGGTCCATGTTTTTTGGGTTCTGCTTTCTTTTACGTAATTGAGGACATGAAGATTAGACGTCTTCCTTCTCTAATCGGCAACAACTAGGGAGTTGCGGGAAGATATCATCACCGTTTAGTCCGGTTTGGTTAATTTGAGGATTTTTTTTTTGGAGTTCCTTTTTCCGGTTTAAACCGGTTTCTTGTAACCCTTTTGAGAATCTAATGAAAAGAAAACCAAAGATATAAATTTATAATGTAATAAGTGTGATTAATCGGCATTTATCACATTTACATGGACACAAACAAATGCAAATTAGTTAATTAGTTAAGATAACAAAAAAAAAAAGATTAAATCAAAATCAAATGAAATTTATTCATATTAACATTCATATGATACAAATAAATTTTATGATAAAGTCGGTAAACAAATTAATTGACATATTTTTATCTCTAAATCAACCATTTTTGACTCATTTTTTAGATTGCCAAGAAGTTTCAAACTTTTTTCCCCAAGTAAATCTAGTTGTTTTCCCAACACCAAACTCGAATTCACACCCTTGAGTCACACTTTTTTTGGAACCGAATTGAAAACCAAAACTTTCTTAGTCTTAAACCGATTCTTACAAAGTACAAAGATAAAGTAAACCAAACCAAGATTACCAAGATCCCACGAAAAGCCGTTAAGCTTTTTTTGTATACATAATGACATTAGTCACGCCATCATCAGTTGACATAGATAATCTCCCTATAAATTACACAAACGGGGCATATAACCCGAGATAGAAGTTTTGATTTGATTAGATGAAAAATGGAACCTCAAACTCTTTTTCTCTATCTCTCACTTCTCATTCTCTCCCTAAACTTCTTCTTCACGAATCTTAAACCGAGGCTAGTCCGCCTCTTCCAGCCTTCTTTGGAATCTCGTGTCAAAACCGCCCTTTTATCCCGAAAAGAAGTAGCCGAGTTTCTTGATTCTCCCATTGTAGAAGACGAAGAAGCGGAAGAAGAAGAAGAAGAAGAAGGAGATATCGTTTCAAATGCCAACTTCACGTTTGAATTTGATCCATACATGATAAGCAAAGCCGAATCAGTGAACAAAGCTCTAGACGAAGCCATTCCAGTTGGAGAGCCACTCAAAATCCATGAAGCCATGCGTTACGCGATTCTTGCGGCTGGAAAACGTGTTAGGCCAATACTCTGCCTTGCTTCTTGCGAGCTAGTAGGTGGTCAAGAAAATGCCGCAATGCCAGCGGCTTGTGCGGTTGAGATGATCCACACGATGTCTCTAATCAAAGACGACTTGCCTTGTATGGACAACGATGATTTGCGTCGTGGGAAGCCTACGACGCATAAAGTTTACGGTGAGGGAGTTGCCATTCTCTCCGGTGGGGCTCTCTTGTCTCTTGCCTTTGAGCACATGACGACGGCTGAGATATCTTCGGAGAGAATGGTTTGGGCGGTGAGAGAATTGGCTAGGTCTATTGGTACAAGAGGTTTAGTCGCGGGACAAGCGATGGATATAAGCAGTGAAGGTTTGGACTTAAACGAAGTCGGATTAGAGCATTTGGAGTTTATCCATGTTCATAAAACTGCAGTTTTGTTGGAAACTGCCGCGGTTCTTGGAGCCATTATTGGTGGTGGATCTGATGAAGAGATTGAAAGTGTGAGAAAGTTTGCTAGGTGCATTGGATTGTTGTTTCAGGTGGTGGATGATATTTTGGACGAGACAAAGTCATCGGAGGAATTGGGAAAAACCGCCGGAAAAGATCAGCTCGCCGGAAAGCTAACGTATCCGAAGTTGATTGGGTTGGAGAAATCGAAAGAATTTGTTAAGAGATTGACGAAAGATGCACGGCAACATCTTCAAGGGTTTAGTTCTGAAAAGGTTGCTCCTTTAGTAGCTCTTACTACTTTTATTGCTAATAGAAATAAGTGATTATTTGTTTTATGTATACATGCTAAAGTAGTGTGTTCCCTTATTTTTAAGTGTAACCACATTTTAATATGTTTATTAAAGAATATTTTAAAATGTACATAATTTTATAACATGCATGTAAAGAAACTTAAACAAAAATATATTCCACTAAAAGAAACTAAACTACAATATGAACTAGCTATAGCAGAGGGCGGTTTTATTTTGGAGGCTGATTATATTCTCTCGTGTTATCAACATTTTTATGTGGTACCAAGTAAACAAAAGAGCCCTTTTCCACCAAAAATATAAAAGGCCCATTCCAAATTTTAGAACAAGGCCAATATTCTGATTGAGCCGCCCTTCTGTGTAAAGTGTAGCTCGTGAGATCAAGGTTTTACTGCGACACGTTCAAAAGAAAATTGTGTTTCAAGGATTTTTAAATGCTTTGGCTTCTAGAGTAAAATGATGTAGCCATTGAAAATGTTGAAATATTTTGTGTACACAAAAACTAGATTTTCTTTTAAGATTTTGTGTAATTAAAAACACTCTAGTCCAGAATTAGTTATGGTTCAGGATGTTTGACCTCTCCTCAGATTCTTTTATTAATCGGAAGTGTCATCGTTGACTTTGATAGCCTTAAGGAAGGGAACGATTCCGGGTCCGCACGACTCTAAGGTTTTTTTCGAATCTTTAGAGTTGTTCGTTGGTGAACCTCCCATTTGTTGTGCATAGTCTCTCGCTTGCACTATCCACTCCTTACTGGTTAAGACGGTCATTGGAATTTGACCGTTTTGGCATGAATGAAAATTAACAAGAAAATGATGGTGTAAATCATTTTAGACTCTCGACGGGCGCACGTATGGTCAAATGGAATCAAGGGGCTTCAGGTACATGCGTTTTTTTTGTCAGAATCACTTGGAAACCAGAGAACACCTCTTCTTCTCTTGTCAGTACGGGTCTCTAGTTTGGACAGCCCTTGCAAAGGGACTCTTGAAATCTAGCTTCACCACAGATTGGTCCCTCATCCTACACTATCTCTCGAACCAGCACCTTGACCGAGTGGAGGCTTTCCTCATCAAATATCTTTTTCAAGCTGCAGTTTACACGATTTGGAGAGAAAGAAATCAGAGAAGACATGGGGAGGACCCGCAACCGGTGGACAGACTCATAGTATGGATTGATAAACAAGTAAGGAACCAAATATCGTCAATCCGCAAAGGAGATATGCGATATGAGGCAGCCTACCTAGCTTGGATCAAAGCTCACAGCTAAATCGACTTTTGTTTTTGGAAATTTTTAGCTCTTATTATCGTATGTTTTTCAGCAACCCGATGCACAAGTTGTAACAACGTTGTATTTTTTCTTTTGAATATAATTTAACATTACATTCAAAAAAAAAAATGATTGTGTAAATCTTAGAATATCCCAATCTTTATCACCATAATCATGTTTTACATAACCATCAGTAATCCTAACTAAAGTAAAATCTTTTTACCACCAACCCAATGGCGGAGCCAATCCCTTTCGCCACTAGCTAGAGTTTAGAAGTATAACACCAAACTTCTTTAAGAAAATCAAGTTCGACAAGAATCTTCGTACATTAGATTTTAACGATCAATAATCCATATGCTGTCTTTGTATGTGACCTAATGTCCTAAACATGTTCCCATTATTGGTTTGTTATTGATAAAATAGAAAGTAATTAATGGTGTACAATTAAATGGTTAATTGTATCCATCCTTTTTGGAGCTCCCGTGTCTTAAGGCGATGGTACAAGGCACAAGCAATGTGAAGCTTTGGATAGTGTCCTTAATTTCATATGTTATCTTTGATTTTCATAATATTTGTTTATTTTATGTTATCCATATAGTTTGTTATACATTGTGATGTATATCACTATTAAAACAAATGCAATGAATTCGACTTATTAAATAGCATTAAAAACAAACAGATCGATTACTGTTTACGGTGTTGATGCTAGAAGCCAAGGGATATTCCCTTTCATAATATATATGTTGACAAAAATAGCTTGTCTTATTATCTCATAAGAATATGCTTTTCTGACGCTATCTTGGATCGGAAACCAGATTTATATATAATACATACATCAATTTGTTGGAGAAAAAAAAGTGATTAAAAAAAATGATAGTAATTTTACAGTTTGGTTTAGCGTTTTTTGTTTTATTTTTTCTTTTTCTTTTTGAATAAAATGACAAAAGAAACACCATGGACTGAATAAATACAGCGAACAAAAAATATTATGATCTAATCTAAAATAGTTACCCAAAATAGTTCACTCCCTTACCCTAAGTGAAAGAATATACATTCTATTTTCAGCAAGCTCCAGTATCCTTTCACGGGATTCAACACTTGGGAGAAATTTCTTGCTTAGCTTAAATTGCCCACAAGCGATGCTCCAATGGACAAGCTAAAGTTTATCGTGGCGTATGCAACGGTCTACGCAATTTGGCATGAAAGAAATGCACAAATTTATTTGGGTATCCGCACTCCCGTTGAAGGTTTATTCTCCTTACTTGATAGAGGAATTTGTAACACTTTTTCTTCTAGACGGTATACTCCAAAGTTTCAGGACATGCTCCAAATGTGGTTTCGTGGCTCTTCTCATTAATTTTTCTTATTTTTTCTAGTAATGTTATTGTACCAAGCTTATACATTTTGGAGTTTGTTGTCGTTGTGCCACCTATAAATATAAACTATGTAATATGTTACCAAGTTATATATATATTTTTTTCATCTGAATTTTATTAAGAATCCAAAGAGAGATACAAGTTAAAACTATAACTGCTGGCGAGCAAACAAAATATTCCAGAAACATAAGCCCAAAAGAGGGAAGCAAAGCCCCATAGTATAGAAAAACTGATTAAAACCAAACAAAGAGACAAAACTCTAAAAAAGAACAAACGACTTTAAGAAAATGAAACCTAAGCACTATAATTGAACAAAGTTATATAATACTAGAAATTTTAACCAAAAAAAGAAAAAAATGGACGGAAGCTCTTGTTTTGTCGCAATATACTAGTCCACAGTCCACACACGTCCAAGCTTATGGTGACCATTTTCTTAAGTATCACTTGTTTTATTGATTTTGAAAGGTTAGCAGGTCAAACGTAGTAATTAAAATGTGTATAGATTAGTTTTGCAACTAGTTAAAAGAATAGTTATGAAGATACTCTATTTTTATTTTTAAAAATTTCCCAAAATATTTTAAATCTAAATTTTGCACTCCCCCATAAACTCCAAAAAATAATTGTTTAAGGAACTCTAAAAATTAAATCATAAATCTTGATCTCTTAAACTTAAATCGTTAAACCTACATTTAATAAAATGGTCTATTTTCTATACTTTGATAGATTCAACATAATTCTTTTAATTGAGATTTTTTAGAAGTTTTAGTCAGTTAACCCATAACTTAGCTTACCTCTTGCATAATAATACTTGCTGGATTTATATCATTTATCAGCATTGATTGGGTCTAATTATTTAAAGGGCAACAACTGCCACTTGCTGGCATGCATCACCATTAAGCCTTTAGTCAATGTTGATAATATAATCATAACTAAGTACTTCTTTAGACATAATTGACCACTTCTAGCTAATTAAGTCGATTAATTTTTCAAACCATTTGCTAATGTAATAAATTTATTTTTGCCAAACTATTTGTCAAATTTGTGGACATGGGATTATTGTCTAAAATGCCATTTTTTTGGAAAAACTTACGAAAATGCCATTTTTTGAATAGTTTACGGATTTTGCCCTTTTTTAACACTTAAAAATGTACGTATTTATATTTTTTTTTGCAAAAATACGTACTTTATACCAAATACTAAACCCTAAGAACAAATGGAACCGACTAAACCCAAACATAACGAGTGAAACGCATGTTAAATCATATTTTTGGAGCTTGAAAAAGGGCAAAATCCACAAACTATTCAAAAAAGGGCAAAATCCACAAATGCCACTATAAAAAAGGGCAAAATCCGTAATTAATTCTGTGGACATTGCTTGTCACCTTCCAATAAGTTTGTAACTAGTGGCTGTAATACTGTGCACGTGTCAGTATATGACTTGTTTAGTACTCAAGAATTTTGCCAAATTGTTAATTATAGCTCCCTAACAATCGGGAGACTTCTTAAAGCTTGAGGAACGTATGCGAAAAGTATAAACTACAAATACCGATCATTAATTCTGATAACGTTTTCTTTGAAATAAACACGTTACTGTATCCTTTTAATTAGCCCAAAAGTTTTAAATGCACTAGATAATATAATTTTGAAGCTTATTTGCAAAAACCATATGTGATAAAAAAAAAATACTAGTAAGTAAAAATAGATGTTACACGTATTTTTATGTTTTGTACAAATAGCATGAGATTTCGATGTATTTTAAATTTATAACAACATGTTTAAAATCAATATGAAAACTTCATTTACGATTTTTCCCAAAGAACTATCCAGCATAATTAACCCAAGAAAATATGTACTTTTTTGTTTAGTGTGGAAACCAAAAGGAAAATTTTCTTTTAGTAACACAATCGTTTATCTGATTGATATAAACTTTTTCAAAGGATTAGTTTTACCATAGCAAATTAGCAATAGTATCCCAAAAAGATATTCGTTTGGTTCACTTGGAAAATCTAAAAACTTATTCAAAATTTTGATAGCTTTCCTTTTTTATATTGTCTAGTTGTGTTTGTTATTCCATAATAAGAACACTGAACACGTGAACACTTACCTATTTGTTCCACTTGCTCGTTCATTCTATACTATATTTTTCTCAACCATCAAAAACCATGATTCACTTTTTTCCACTTCATTTCACAAATGTTTTGTGTATGTGCAAGATTCTTGGTATTGTTGTTCTATACTCTTTGTTTCTCTTATATTGAAAACCATAACTCTTTTTTCACTTCAGTTCACAAGTGCTATGTACTTTTGCAATAATTTATGGTATTGTTGTTGTTCTGTGATGTCTTTAGATCACTTAAATAAATAACCGTGAATCACAGAAATTAAAATTCGGTCGTGATCATTTAAAATACTAATGTGGTGAGTGGTAACATTCGAATTCCAATACTCAAATTAAAAAGTGTTTTATCTAATTTCAAAAGAAATGTTTATCAAGTCTGTTTTGTTTTCAGAATATCTTTTAGTAATCTTTTTATTATGAGTTATGTGTATGAGATTTTTGTCTCTATATCTTGGAGTTCCATTTTCGTTTTAGTTTAAATTGGTGAAGTATTTATAAAATTTATCTTTTATCGAACCTAAATATCGAATAATCGAATCTTTATGGGTCTGATTGGTAACCAAAAGATTTACAAATTTTTTAGCTGTTAGCTGGAACTGTAAGCTTTACCACGAAATAATACAAAATTGTATGAAAGAACTGTACGAGAAAACTATACAAAAAAACTAAAAATAAAATTTTTAGTAACGCTTTTGATAAAGCTTTTGTGATTGGTAAAAACAAAAATTGTACCACTTGTAGTATTTTATTTTTGTTCACCAATCAAAGCCTATATGTTGATGTATTAGGTACTTTTTCATCTCATGCATAAAATACATACATGGTCGTATGTTTGATGCAACTTGTGCCTCTACTGCACATAGTCAAATAAAGTAAATATGTTAAGTTACAGTAATGAGTAAGATATGTAATATGACTATGTTCGTTTCATAACCGCAAGCGATTGCGATTTGATGTTATTCGTTTAGCAATCGTATGACTTGTCATTGCGACTAATCGTCATATAAAAAGTCGCATTGCTAATTTTTCCTGCGATCAAAAAATTTAGTCGCAAGTCGCAATGACTAATGACGTAAATAATCATAGAATTTTATGACTATAAAAAAGATAATTATCTGCGACTGTTAAAGAAACAACCGCTATCTCGATAAATATATACTAGATCATCACCCGTACTACAGTACGGGTTAAGTTTTATTTATTACAAAATTTATATATTATATATTTTAGAATAAAGTTGTGATATATTATAATAGTAATTGAAAAAATATAATTAGATTTTTGTCAGTCCCTATATATAATATTAGAATAAATATATTTTCTTTTTTTAATTATACTCAATTATGGATATATTTTTTAAGATATGAAAACGGAAAATAAAATTATTTTAATAAATTAATATGATCTGAACAATGAGTAAATTTATATTAACAACCACAAAATGAGATTGCATATAATTCAGTTAGATCAAAAATCAAAATATTATAAATGAATCGCTTCTAAAACGTAGATTATTTTTAATTAATTAAGAAAGTTAGCTATTATTTGGAATTAATTTAAGAAATTCTTTTTTCAATTTCTAATTTTTTGGTTGTTGAAATAGAGATTTGTTTGAGGTAACTACAGAATTTACCAATTATTCGCGTAATCGAATATGTTATGAACATATACTGTATTTAGTATATAATATACCAAATTCAACCCGTGCTTGGAGTCTATATTTTTATTTTAGAATCCTAATGAAAATATTGCGTGCACAATATATTATTCGTTATTTCCAAAATTGCTTGCACAATCAAATTTTTAAATATTTTGTGGTGTCAACCTTATTTAATCTATCTGATCATATAATCTTAACATGCCGTCTATTATAAGGATCATAATTTTATATCATATAATATATTACATTTAACCCTCCACCTACTATAACTATTTTAAATATATCTTTTTAGAAAATCAAATTAAAGTATTTATAATTTTTTTATCTTTTTAATCTATTAAATATTTATGATATTCATTAAAATATTAAATTAAACTATTTTTAAATGTTCCAAATTAAAATCTTTAAAAATATTTCTTGTAGTATATAAAATTATGAATTTCAAAAAAGAATTATATGAAATTAAAAAAATATTCAAACAGTTATAAGGATCATAACTCATTTGTTAATATAATATATTATATTTAACCCACTATCTATTATAAATATTTGTTTTAAAAAAATCAAATTAGAGTATTTATTGATGATATTCTTTAAATATTGATGATATTCTTGAAAAATATCAAGTAAAACTAATTTTATATGTTGCAAATTAAAATATTTAAAAATCTTATTGTAGTATATAAAATAATACATTTCAAAAATTAAATGTATGAAATTGAATATAAATATTCAAATTCTGACCCGTTCTTCAGTTGAAATTTTTGTTGAACTTATTTTTGATTAAAAGAAATATATTACTCAAATGTGAATTTTTGAGCCGTTAAATTTTTTTCTTCATAGATTTAACAATTTATATTCGTTTGTAAAAATTTAAATCTTGGCATATGCAGAATTTTTTTTTTTTTTTTGTTATATGGATGATATGATGATTTATTTGTTTTATAAAAATAGAATCATATAAAGATGAGAGGTGAAGTATAATGATTAATAAGTAATAACAAATTAATATGGTAAGTTAGATATCAAATCTTATATGTTCATTTTGATTGGTCATTCATTTTTTTTAAGTTAATAATATATTTTCGTTTTTAATAATTAAATTTCATAAATTAGTATTTGACTTGTTTATCCTAAATGAGCTAAATTAATTTACTCTTTATATTTTTATCTCCAATGGCATTCTAATGTAATAACTTACAAATGAGAAGGTTATTAAAGGGTAATTATAAATTGTACTCCCCAAATAATAGTATAGGATTTCTCTTATATATTTCTTATGTTAGATAATATTAAGGTGGAATATCTCGATAGATCCACACAGTTTGTAACAAAAATTATCAAAATGATACTAGTTATAAAATAGTAAAAGTGTAATTATCAAAATAATCTAGTAGTTAGTTAAAAAGTAATTAAAAAAAAGACGAAAAATATGTGGATCCACGTCTGCTTGCGTGCACGTAAAAGTCTTTTCATGTCCTAGTTCTTCTGCTCTGTTGCCGTTGTGAACAAATTTAGGTTTCTGCTAAAAAACAAAAAATATTAATTTTTATTGGAAATTGCTATAATCGGACGGCTACAATACCACCGCAAAGCTATCACCACTACCAACCCGAACACGTGTACGGCTATCACATTTCTCGCGAGAAAAAAAAAACCAAAAGAGTTTCGAAAAAACGAATATTCCTGCTGTAATATTAATTTCTCGTGTACGTTCCGATATACGCTGACGTGTACGAGTCTCTCTTTTTTTTATTATTTATTTTTAGGTTTTAAAATTTGTAACAGTATATAAACCCTTTTAGTCTCTATTGTTTCATTATTCAGTCGTAAATAAAAAAAAACGATTTATTTTTAATTTAATTTTTATTTTCTCTCTCAAAGTTTCTTGGGAGAGCAACAATGGCGATGAGGAAGCTTTTATCGAAGAAACTCTTCAATATCACGAATGTTGCATCACAGAGTCTTATGAATTGTCGTATATCATCGTCTTCATTAGCCGTACGAACCAGAGTTCCAACGGATTCAACAGATACGACCAAAATCTCACCGGAGCCTGGAGATTCAACGATTTCGCGGCGGTTTATGCACAATAGCGCTATGATTAGGCCGGAGATTATGCAGATGCCGATTGGAGAGAGTTTGATTGAGAAACTCCGTGAGATTGATGGAAGCAAGGACCGGATTCGATTAGACGGACTTGCTCCGCCGGAGAGGGAGACGAGTTTGACGGTGGCGGATACGAAGAAGCTTCTAAGAGCGGCGCAGATCGAGATTGTGAAATCGAAGCTTAGAGAAACGGGAAGAAGCTGGATGACGTATTCGGAATTCGTTAGCGTTTGTGGTGAAGCTTCTTCAGATCCAGATCTCGGATCTAGAATCGCGAAGATGCTTGATGATTCAGCAAACGTCATCGTTTTGGGAGATTCCGTTTGTATTAGACCTGATCAGGTACTTTCTTCGTTCTTTGTTCCAGCTTTTGCATTTGAAATCATTGATCTCTGAAAATCTCTGAGTATGCAGCTGTTTGATTGGGAGAGATAGAGAAAACTCTCTGAAAAAAAAAACGAATTAGGTTCCCAAATTTGTTTGAGTTTGTTCGATTTTGATTTTGGAAAGCTACTACCGAAAACTGATACCATTTTTATTCGGTTGTATCTCTTTTTCTTTTGGTTACAATTCAACAGGAGAATCAAAAACCTCTGTGTTTTTATACCAGAGTTCCATAGGAGGTTCCGAAGTTTGAGAGAGGTGGTGATAAAGAGGAACAGTTTCTACAGAGACCACAACTTTTTTTTTTCCTAAACCAAAAAAAAAAACCATTGTTTGGATTAGGGTTAAGTTGAGTCAAGAAAGAGAGGAGCTTAGGTTGTTATACTAACAAGTTCTTGAGGGTTATTAGAGTAAATCAAAGTGGAAAAATTGATTGAGATGATTATAATGATCATGGGTTGGGTTTATGGGGAGAGGTTAGTTAATAGTGAAAGATTTTAACCAGAAAACAGGGATATGGGGATGGATTGATTGACTTTTATAACTAGTCATTGATTCATGAAGGTGTATTTGTTGTGTGTTTTTGAGTGCTAATTGTGTGTCTCAAAAGAAGGTGGTGGAGGTCTTGTTTTACCCAGACATTTTCTGTTTTTGTCTTTTGCTCTTGTTTATGATCAGGTTACAAAATCCATTGAAGGGTTGCTTCCTTTGCCAAAGATTCATAACCCAAATGACCCACGGAGAATCGAGTTGAAAGAGCTTGAAGCTGAAAAGGCAGTGATCGATGTGAAAGCGCACTCTTTGGTGCGGAAAGAACTTTGGGCTGGTCTTGGTTACTTGATCCTACAGACCGCGGGGTTCATGAGGCTAACCTTTTGGGAACTCTCGTGGGATGTGATGGAACCGATATGTTTCTATGTCACGTCGGTATACTTTATGGCTGGTTACGCGTTTTTCCTCAGGACATCGAAAGAGCCTTCTTTTGAAGGGTTTTACCAAAGCAGGTTCGAGGCGAAACAAAGAAAGTTGATGAATGATTATGAGTTTGATCTCGAGAGGTATGAGGAACTGAAGAAGCTATTTTGCTCTAAGCCTTCAGCTCATGTTTCCAAGATTCTTGGAGCTATCAAGAATTAAATTTTGATTAGGAAAAAAATTGCTTAGATTCAATGTTGTTGTCACAAATGGTGTCTGATTTTTCCTAACTAGAAAACTCTACCCCACAAAAAAAGAAAAAAATGGGTAGTATTCTCAAAATTTTCAGTTTTCTTAAAAAAAACAAAGAGTTTGTTCTTATTATTGCGGCTTATGTAACATCAGAGAAGAGTTATGTTTTTGTTTTCATGTTTTTTTTTTTTAAAATGTATGACCGATCTAAAATTTAACATTGTGTAAATAAATGTTTGAAATGTAATATAATATAGAATTAATTATTAATTATCTGCAAAAGACTTATTTCATATTTTCAAAAGCTCTATATGATTTTTTAAGTTTTTGCATACCTATTAAAATATGAATTAATTTTTATGTATTTTTAAACTAAAATATTATTTATTATCTATCTAAACACGATTCAACTAATAACAAAACAATGTGCAGCATATAAATCGTCTTAACCAATCAAAAACTAATTAATACTCTATTGAAGTTAAAAACATCATCTAATTGAAAAAGGATATAGTATTTTCAAATACTAAATTAGATCTATTTCTTTCTAACATGCGTTAGTGATTTTTTTTTTAGTATGATACAAGATCTTCTATTGAATTGCAAAAAATGTACAATGAGAAAACATAACAAAAATAATAACATCATCGAGAGGAGTTTTTACCCTTCCAAATAAATCAGAGATAGCTACAGCTTCACCTTTCGATAAATCCCCATATATAACTCCCTCAATGAACATCTAAAAGTGAGTTAATTAGTTAAAATGACAAACATATAATTAGATGAATTGACTTGGATGACATAAATCCAAAAGAGAAACAATTACCTTCGAGCGCATAGCACGGACGAACCGACAAAACTGCTCATAACCAATTGACGAAAATTCTTTCCTCATGTTATCAACATCATAATATGATTTTGTTATGCATTGTAACATGAGGTTGTCAGAGTGTTTTTGGATGTCACTGTTGCAGTTGCTCATGTGATTTGCCACCACTTCTTTCATCCTCTGAAACGAAATCTCCTCCGGAGAAAAGCTTATAAAGCGCTTCCAGATTTCAGAGATGTAACCTAACATCTTCTCTTTGAAACCACTGATTTCAAATGTAACATCGAGCTTCTGAGAAGCTTCTATAGATGTCTCTAGACAAGCTTCCGCCCCCTGTGAAAATATAAACTTATTTTTATATATGATACTACCTCTTTTCTTTATATAAAAGTAAAGAAAAGCTTGATACTTACATGGTAAAGTATGTCTGCCAGAGAATCTTTTACAAGTCCAACATACAATTTTATGCAAAGTTGATTCTTCAAGTCATAATCGAGATCATGGTGGACACAAAAATTGATTGTTGGCAGCCCTTCTTCTTTTGAACGCCACAAATTTATGTAGTATTCTCAAAATTTTCAGTTTTCTTAAAAAAAACAAAGAGTTTGTTCTTATTATTGCGGCTTATGTAACATCAGAGAAGAGTTATGTTTTTTGTTTTCAGGTTTTTTTTTTTTAAATGTATGACCGATCTAAAATTTAACATTGTGTAAATAAATGTTTGAAATGTAATATAATATAGAATTAATTATTAATTATCTGCAAAAGACTTATTTCATATTTTCAAAAGCTCTATATGATTTTTTAAGTTTTTGCATACCTATTAAAATATGAATTAATTTTTATGTATTTTTAAACTAAAATATTATTTATTATCTATCTAAACACGATTCAACTAATAACAAAACAATGTGCACTTGTGCAGCATATAAATCGTCTTAACCAATCAAAAACTAATTAATACTCTATTGAAGTTAAAAACATCATCTAATTGAAAAAGGATATAGTATTTTCAAATACTAAATTAGATCTATTTCTTTCTAACATGCGTTAGTGATTTTTTTTTGGGAAAATTGGATATAAAGGATAAATAATTTAATTATTGTCCATTTATGCATTCTATATTCATAATTGATCATATATGATTTAATATTGGTCATCTATGCTTTAATATAATTAAAATCCCATTTTATCCCTAGTTTCTTTAAATCTTGCTAAAGTATAAAAAAAATTCCAAAATTAATTAGATTTCTTTCTAAAAATAATTTGGAGAAAATATATGACAAAAACAATATTTATTTACTTTCCAAATATTCTTGCCAAGATAATTCCAAATCTTCTTCTTATTTGATTTTTTTTGACGTTAACTTCCTCATCAATTCTTTTGACGACAACTTCTTCTTTGATTTTCTCTTTTGGTAGTTTTTTGGATTTCTTCAATTCTTCGGAGCTTGTATATCCAGGTAAAATTCTAGATTTCTTTGCATGTGTTGGATTATTGATTTGTAGTGTTGTGTTGTTTCTAAAAGTCTAATAAAACAAGTTTCAGTTTTCATCTCTTGTGTGTGTCTCTCTCTTGTCCAAGTCCTCTGTTACTTTGTATCTTTGTCTCTTGATCTCGTACATATGACTATTTCTAAGTCATTCTAAAACAAAGCAATTTTGGTTATAACATAAACGTTAATTTGTTGTTTTTTTTTCTTTTGCACTAAGTAACGTAAGAAGCAAAATCTAACACTTTGATCACTTGACTTGCTTCCATTATCTTCTTTTGTTACTAAACCTTAATTTGATAACATAATTTTGGGCCTTTTGAACTTATTCTGTTGATTGTTGACATTTACAAAGAACTTTGCTACAAAAATTCCATGAATGTTGATATTTACATATTTTAAGATTGTTTTTGCTTTTGTGTAGACATGGAAAACGAGTGTCCAAAACGCCTATTCACAGATGGAAATGAGCCACAAGTGGAGAAGATAAATAACAGCTGCAAAATGTCTCTTCTGACCAAAATAAAGGAAACGTTGCCATCGGAGTATGATGAAGTTAAGAGAGATCCAGTATTCGCACATGTCTTTGCAATACACGAAAATAAAATAGGTTATTCAGCTCGCTTGATACACAGCATCATGTGTAGACAATTGGTTACAAAAAAAAAACATGAGCTATGGTTTGTGTTTGGAGGGAAGCCACTTAGATTTTCACTCCAAGAATTTTATGCAGTTACTGGTCTCAAGTACACTGATGATGGGAGCTGTGATTATGAGAAATGGAAAGATGATAAAGGATTTTGGAGTAAATTGCTGAAAAGAGGTGGAGATATATGCATAAATAAATTGATGACTAGCATTGAAGATGTTAAGAAGTGGAGGGAGAAGGACGACAGAATTCGTTTCGTGTATATTTGTGTGATAGCTGGGTTGGTCATGGCTACGGGTGAGACCAAAAAGATCGATCATTTATACATCAAGATGGTGATGGATCTTCGTAACGTTCGTAATTATCCTTGGGGTCTTAAAGCTTATGATTATCTACTACAATGTATCATGAAAGCAAGATCTGCTTTGAAGAAAACCAAAAGCTATGTTCTAGATGGATTCTCATATGCACTTCAGATATGGGTGATGGAAGCAATTCCAGACATTGGAACATTGGTGGGAGAAAAGATTAGCACTGAATTGACTGCAGCTCCTCGATGTTCTAATTGGAAAGGCGCTGCAAAGGTATCATATGAGGACATCATCTCGTTGGAGATGTCATTTACATCACATGTGAGTTTACAATTCTCTATTTTAAGTTTAAGAGTTTAAAGATCTAGGGGTTTTAAACATGTGTGTCTTATTGGTAGTTAACGTGATGCAGACAATTATTTGCATATGAAACTATTATGCCTCGTAGGGTTCCAGTGTTTCTTTAATATTTTTTTGTTTTGTTTTGTAGGCTGTCTTTTATCCATTCATTTCTTATTCAGGAAATGAGTTCATTGATGACAAAGAATTTGTATGGCCTGATGAAATCAGAGATGGTGAAGTGGATAATATGATTGAAATGATCAAATCTGGGAATGATTTTGGAGACCATGTTTGGGGAAGTGTTGTAGATGATAATATAGAAGGCGACAATATTGAGAATGTGCAAGAGAATGATGTCGCAGATAAGGATGTTGCAACTGAAGACATGAATGAGGTCGATCATCTGAGAGAGCTAGTTGAAGATGGGAATGAAGAGAACCATGTCTCTGGTATGAAGAGGAGTAAGAAGAAACAATCTGATCACGGTGCAGAGACACGCAAAAAGAAGTTGCTTTGTCAACGAGCAGCAGCAGCAACACATGGAGCTTTAAATGACGAAATGAAGTCCTTTCTTAAAGCATTGTTTGATTCTTCTTTTGAGATGATTAAAGCACAATTGGGAAAACTAGAGGATGATATAGCACTAGTGAAGAAACTGGTCTCCACATCTGCAACTGCAAGTATCACAACGAGATCCACAACCTCGCAACCGTCCAATCGAACAGATCAGCCTAGAAAAGTTGTGGTATGTACGTAAGAGATAAATCTTTATTTTGTTCACCTACTTTGTTTATTATAACATGCTCTTTTTGATTTTTGTTGTATTTTAATGTTTTCGTTTATCTTTTTCAATGGCAGGATGAAATGACGTCTTTAGATGATGACTTTTTAGACTTTAGTTTTGGTACACAAGACTTCTTAGATAAATCCATGGGACACTTATCTCAACCATCACAGCTACCCGAATTTGATTCCACACAAAATTTGAATCGCAATAAAATCCAGAGCCTGATCGAAATTGAAAGCGAAGGTAAACATATTCCTGACGTGGGCAAAAACGACAAGGATGCTGTATTGGTGTTTGTTTCTGAGGCTAGATGGAATGCTTTTATGGAGTGGAATATGAAGCACAAGTAAGTCCATTATTTTTCTCTAAAATTATTAGAATTTTATGCTTTGCCAATCGATTTAATTCTCATGGTTTCACATTTTCAGAGACTTAAATTTTGGTCCTAGTGTTATCAATAAAGCATTACTCGGTCGACTCTTGAAAGCGAACGAATGGCTTAGCAACGTGGTGCGTTATACCGATTGTCATTTACTTTGCATTACATACTTAGTGTTACAAAGAAGTTGTGGTACACTGATTATTAAATGATTTAATATTTTTCAGGATATGGATGCTGCGATGTATTTATTTCGGGAGAAATCATCTTTAGGGCGATTGGACTTAGCTCGTGTTGGTTTCATGGACTGTTCATTTGGCATGCGACTCAACAACGAATACACAAAGTTTGTGAAAAATAAACGAAGCCACCAATGGAGTAGTTTGATCCAAGATTACGCCAACGGCGAGTTACCTCCTCATGGGAGGACAAGAAAACAATGGAGATCAGATTTTGACCGTATTTACTTTCCGCTCCATGTCAATGGTAATCATTGGATTTCTCTGTGCATTAACTTCATTCAAAGAACAGTTGATATCTTCGATTGTGCTGGTCACAACCATAGAAGAAATGTGGAGGCATTCGCAATCACCATCCCACGAATTCTCAAGGAAATTCACACAAAATCATATGGGAAAAATCTACTATTATCTCCATATACTCTCGTTCATGTTCCGGTGCCGCCTGGCCTTAATAAATCACGTTGTGATTGTGGAGTGTATGCTCTCAAATATATCGAGTGTCACTTTATGGGGCTTCCCATGGATATATTGGACGATGTCAACATTAAACATGCACGTCAGCGGATTGCAGTTGATCTATGGGAAGCAGCATCTGATCCCGTGTTCATTGACCGAATGGCAAAGTATGAACCTCCACAACTAGATTCTGATACAATATAGATCTAGTGAGAAACATACACTTATTGATTTACGAGACTTTTTTATATCTCAATTCACTTTTTTGTTAAGTCACTTTCAAGTAAATCAAAAATTTCCACGGATGTGGAGCTTTTGTTAGTTTATAATTGAGTTTGACCATCTTACTTATTTTGTTTAAATATTCATGTAAGTAGAGCAACACGTGTGTGTTGTTTCTACACGTTACGTAGCACCGTAAAACATTACAAGCAACGTTTCCTCTGTTGACTTAGCTTCTTCTCCATTAAAAACTCCGACGTTTTCATATCTCGTCTGTGTCTATCTCTCTCTTGTCCAAATACGTTGTTACTTTGTTCTCTTTACAAGCCATTCTAAAACAGAGCAGATTTGGTTATAACAAAAACTCATATATCATCAAAAAACTGAATTATCGTTTCTAAAACAGAGTAGATTTGGTTATAACAAAAACTCATATATCTTAAAAAAACTGAATTATCGTTTCTAAAACAGAGCAGATTTGGTTATAACAAAAACTCATATATCGTCATAAAAAACTGAATTATTGTATCTAAAACCATGTCTTAGAGAAAATAAATATAAAAGCAGAACGTATTGAGTTTATAAAATAAAAAGAGTAAAGAAGAAAAAATTGTCTTCTCGTCCCAACGATCATACATGAAAAACAATCCTGAAAAAGAAAAAAAAAATCACACAATAAATAAAATGATAATGAAATACCAATTAACAATACTTCATGTGAGAATAAGGATTGTGGAACAAACCGTTATTATATTGTAGTATCACACGTCGATCGGTTGTGTCCTTCTTGACCACAACGACTACACCTATGCCTCTTAGACCCTTGTGATCCTTGTGACGATCGTATCTTGTCTTCCACAGTTTCGTATCTTCGTTTTCTTCGTCGACCAGGGCCTCTCCGTGATTCAGGTGGTAGGACTTTAGCATTTTCGACATTTTCTGGGACACGCCATTCATCTTCAGGAACAGCAATTGGATTAATGGTTTCTTCGAATAACGATCTTCAAGCTGTAGTTGTATACACTTCATCAGCAAATTCATGTAGCTCCTTACCGATCACAAGAGCTGCTTTTATGGCATGACGACACGGAATTTTTCCTAACTGAAACTTTCCACATGAACATGTTTTACTTTCCAAGTCAACGACGTAGTCAGACGACTCACCTTTAAGCTGAAATATGTATTCAGTAACCGGATAAACTTTCAGTGTTTTGCCTTTTTCTATCCTACCATCAATCTTTTTCTCCACTTCCACAGTTAAAGGGTCTGTCTGCTTTGCACTTAAAGCTCTACGCTCATAAAACCATCGTGTCAACATTTCTCTAATGCTGTCTAACAAAGGAATTATTGGATATTCTCTAGGCGATCTCAACGCTGAATTTATTGACTCAGCAGGGTTTGTGGTTCTAATGTCGTACCTGTATCCAGGAAAATGACACCGAGCCCATTTTTCCACACCTGCATCTTGTAGGTATACTCCAATCGCTGGACTAATGTTGCTAATTTGCTTGAATAAACGCTCAAATTCAGCAACCCTATACGCTTTTGACGCTTTGGCAACCATACCGACCAAACCCCTTCCTTGGTGGTAAGTTATCACATTATTCAGCAAGTGGTGGATGCAAACACCATGTTTTGCCAATGGGTAAATTTTAGCAATTGTTTTACCAATCGACATATGTCTATCTGACACAAAAGCTAAATCTTCCTCGTCGGCTATAACAAACTTAAGTTGCATTAAAAACCACTCCCATGAAAGATCATTCTCAGAATCAGCAATTCCAAATGCGATTGGATATAAATTAGAGTTACCATCTACGGCTGTAGCAACTAGTAGAACTCCTTTGTATTTGCTCTTCAAAAACGTTCCATCAACTACAATCACCCTACGAACTGCCTTGTAGAACCCTCTTATTGATTGACCAAAAGAAATAAATAGATACTTGAATCTACCATCGTAATCAGTTTCAAAATTCGTATACGTACCAGGATTAGCTTCTTGTAGCATATGCAAGTATTTTGGTATTTTACCATAACTTTTCTCAGGTATCCCTCTAACTTCGTTAACTGCATACTCACGAGACTCCCAAGCTTGGGAATAAGATAGCTCACATCCATATTCTGTACGCAAAATATTAATGATATCATTGGGTTTAGGCCCTTCCTTCACACCCTCGTATCTATGCATAATGAGCTGTCCAATTGTTCTTGCTGAAGGGGTTCTAGAGACTTTGCTTTTCTTCGAAGGAGCACAATTATGTTTAGCAACATACTTATTGATTTTGAAATATGTAGATCCCTTCAAACATTCTGCACGAAGCCTCCATTTGCAAACTTTGTCCACACAACGAATACACCAAAATGTCGGATCAGATTTAGTAACTCTGTAGTCGAAGTTATACTTCATCGCACATATTTCTAGAGTTGCCTGTAAAGCTTCCTTGCTTCTGAAATGTTTCCCATTCTTTACAATGGAATCTGCCAATATAGATTCAACCTTATCACAAACTCTACCAACATTAGGCGTATCCTCAACAACCAATACTGCAGATTTTTTACGCACGTTACGATCATCATCTCTTTCAATCGAATCACTTGGCTCCTCATCCAATTCGGTATCCACTATATTCCTTTGATTATCGCCTTTAACTTTAAATGTCACACACAACCGTATCAAACTGTTCCTTTTATAATAGTCGACAAAATTTTTCAGTTGTCGGTCATTCGTCATAAGAACAGGAGGAGAATCAACACCGAAATCTGTAGGTAAATAAGTGAATTCCACATCAACTGTAGCCGGTTCTATTTTGTAGTCTTCAGAGACCATCATCAATAGGTCTTCAAGAGTTGTTGTAGATTGCAAGGTGAGTAATCTTGCACATTTTTCTTCATCAACAATAAATTTCCACTCTTTATTAGCAAAAGATCTCCATACACCACAAGTAACATAGATCTGCAACATAATTGTTTGTCTCACAATTACTTAAAGATCGTGAGGGAGAAGAAAGAAGAAAGAAGAAGAGGGGACGAAGGAAGAATAAGAAGAGATGAAACGTGGAGAAAAAGAAATAAGGAACAAAAGAAGAGACGTCAAAGTGGACTAGGGTAATCTATTTACTTATGTGTAAAGAATTCTAAACTAATAAGAATACATGTTCTAAAATTTGTAGACGTAATCTTAACCTTAATATTCAATTTTATCAGATGTAATCTTAACAATATTCAATTTCTTTATTTAAAGATTTATTTTCCTTTACTAAAAAGAAATTCTAAATTATATAGAATTTGTTTTCTATTTTTTGTAGAATATATAGGAAAATATAAGAATGTGTTTTCTAACAATTTTAGAACATGGGTAAATGTTAGAAAAGATATTCTAATTTTTTTAGAAGAAAGAGCAAAGTATAGAACATGTATTCTAAATTTCGTAGAAATTAGCTATCTAAATACCGTAGAACAGAAATGCGTTCTAAATTCCGTAGAACATGTAGAGTGCATAGAATACATTATCTAAATTTTATAGAACATGTGCAATGTGTAGAATACACATTCTAAATTCAGAATGTGTATTCTAAACTTCGTAGATCATATTTTATTTATCCAAAACGGCAACAAAAATGACATATTTTCGACATTATAAGTATCCTCATGACTTCTTTTTCATTTGCCTACAAATTGTTCTAAATTTTTTTTGAAAAAAAATGTACAATGAGAAAACATAACAAAAATAATATCAGCCCACCCATAGTAATGAAGAAGGAATAGATTATCAAAAGATATAGGATTGGAAATGTCGGTTGTGATGTTATTATTTGTAATAATGTTGTTGTCATGTTATAAATCGAATAAAATCATGTTCGTGATTCATTCTCCTTGGCAATGGGATGTGCACTTGTCAAATAGTATCTCGATAAAATCATGATTGGCGTTCCACTCCGTTATCAATATGCTAATCGCGGATTAGGCGATTTACAACATGTTGATTTCATGAAAAATTGAGTACATGTCGAAGGAATGAAGATTCATTACAAGCCCCAAAGTATAGCCAAATAAAATGAGGACTTTGAAAGACATGATAAACGTATATAGTTAGATGGACTAGTGACAGTTGTGATTAAAACTTTTCCAAGTAAATATACAAACGAGGGAAAGTGAATTCTGTCTCGAACGTCAATGAAATTGAGAAAAAAAAAACCCTTTAAGAAAAATCTTTCGTATGTTCTGGTACTGACAGAGCATGGAGTTTATTTTGAAGAGGATAAAGAACCCCAAGAGTACTGGAGATTTTTAATTTCTATAGTGAGGACTATGGATCATGTGAAATTATTCTGATTACTGGGCATATGTCCTTAATCAACAAATCTATCGAAATAAGGATCAGTGAAGAAGAGTGAAGACTAAAAATATTAATTGATTAATGGTTAAGACTTATTTATTTCATATTAAGATAATTATTAGTTATTTTAACCTTGGAATGTATTAAACTTGCAATGACACACGTGTACTAATTTTGCTTGCATAAATTTTTTTTAATTAAATAACAGTGGAGGATTGACTTTTTGTTATCAATTTTTATGAATCCAAATAATTAATATTGAACGTACTATTTGGTTCAATTATATTTGTTGAAAAGTTTCCACAAAATTTATACCGTCTACATTGACATAAAGTTTTGTTTAAATTTGATAATCACATAAAATTAGTATGATGTCGTAAGATCCATATGTTTTAGTGTGGATACCTTAGATGCAAGAAAGTTAAACGTTTACACGATCTTGATAATCACATAAAACATTCTTGAAATTTGTTTGTTTTTTCATTCAACTCGAAATCTAATTTACGTTTGAAACGAGCTTTTGGCATCATTGTATCTACCACGATGTGTGGTTGTAGCTAATCAGGCCCAATATCAGTTAATTGGCCCATAATTAATAAATATCCCAAAATATATAAATTAAAAAGAGAAAAAACACAAAAGTCAGAAATAGCCTGGAGGAACTTTCTTTCCCAACAGTAGGACTCTGTTTTTTTTCCCACAATGTCTGGTTTCCTTTTTTGTTTCGTCCAAATCTCTACTTTTTAGGGATCTTGTTTTGTGCTGATTAAAACCCTCGAATTTGATCCAATCTCTTCAAGAAAACGGTGCGTTTGCTCTTCGATTTCCTTTTTTTGTTTCGATGGATCTGATATGATTCGCAATGTTGGGAACTGATTCGATTTCTCTTTGTCGGTTGAAATTCATCTTCGTTTCTAAATTGGGGAAAATTTAGGGTTTTTGGTTGTGGGTTTATTAGGGTTTGTCCAATCTCATGATTTAGGGCTTTTGATTGAATTAGGCTTAGGGTTTCTTATCAAAGTTCATATTTTGTTTGATTTAGAGCTTTGAATGATTTTTAATTAGGTTTAAGAATTTTGATTCAAGTTCATATTTTTTTTGAATTAGGGCATTGAGATGGTGAATGGAGAATCATCAACTAGTACGTCTTACACTGATAATAACAATGGTGCAAATGATCAAGGAGGAGACTTTGAATGTAACATTTGTTTTGAGTTAGCTCAAGATCCGATTGTCACTCTCTGTGGCCATCTCTTTTGCTGGCCTTGCTTATACCGTTGGCTTCACCACCATTCGCATTCTCAAGAATGTCCGGTTTGTAAAGCCGTGGTTCAAGACGATAAGCTTGTTCCTCTTTATGGTAGAGGTAAGAACCAGACTGACCCGAGATCAAAACGTTACCCGGGTTTAAGGATTCCTAACCGACCAACGGGTCAAAGACCCGAGACTGCGGCTCCTCCTCAGGCTGAAGCAGCGAGTAATTTTTTTAACTATGGTATTGGTTTGATGGGTGGAATTATGCCAATGGCGACTACTAGGATCGGGAATTTCAGTATGGGGTTTGGTGGTTTGTTGCCTTCTTTGTTTAACTTTCAGTTTCATGGATTTCCCGATGCTACGCTTTATGGTTCAACACCGGGTTACCCTTACGGTGGTTATCATAATGGTTTCCGTGGAGTTCCTCCTCATGGACAAGAGCGTCCGATGGCTCGTGGAGGAAACCAAAGCGATGCTACTCTGAAGAATATCTTATTAGTTGTTGGAATTTGCGTGGTGTTATTTCTTTGCTGGTGAAAACGAATCACATTTGGTTTATTCCCAGGTATGATCAAACTCACTTACTTGGTGCAAGTTGTGTATGTAAATATGGTAATAGCCGAGTGTCTGTGTCTGCTATTTCAACGTCGTTATTGTATTTTTGTTTTGAAGATGAAACTTGAGTCTATAAGCTTTTTACACAACTCTTTGTTTTTATATTTTCTTGCTTGTGTTTTGTCTAAGCATCTTGTGAAAACTAGTTGTGGAATAAATGGTGCTTGTGCGTGTTATGACAAAAGAAGTATTATTATGATATCTGATAGATCTGTAATTTATGTGATTCTTTACTGTTGATACATGCTTGCTTTTATATAGACTATGATAAGTTTTTAAGCTGTGTATAGTGCTTTGATCTAGTGAGCATTCTTGTGCGAGACTAAGCTTGTTCTTGTGAGTTGATTCAAGTAGTTGACTGCTGCGATAGTGCATGACAATAAGGGAATCATACTCCACGATTCTTGTTCTTCTTCTTATCTCTCAAATCTCGATCTCACTCTGTTTACTCGATAGTTTGATAGGTTTTCATACATTGTTAGATAGTTGTAGATTGATGGTAATATCGAAACAGCGACACTAGGGAGTAGGGATGACTTCTAGAGCATCACTTACTCTTTCAATTACTCTTGTAAAATGTCTTTTTCTGTGTGACGGCGGTGCAGACAATAATTATGACCACCATTATAGGAAGCTTTGCTAAGGGCTTTTCCATTTTGTTGTTCTGACAAGAATCCTTCATGGTCGTTGTCGTAGTGAGAATCAAGAAAGGACCTTTTTCCCGCTAGTGTGAATATAAACATAAACTTCAGGATTTAAGTCTTGCGTCGGTGGCTGCGTTTAATAAGACTTTATTTACTTAATGCCCCGTCTTGCTGAAAAGTATTAGCAACGTCCTTTAAGTAAAAGCCGTTACCAATCGGTCCCAGATTTGATCAGTTAGTTACCGTCGAAATTAAACCAGAAGAGATGAAAAAAGGGAAAAGCCTTTGTGTCGTCCCCATCACGTCGTCTTTGGCGGCTTCAAAGCCTTTATATGATTCTGATTCACAAAAAAAATAAGAAAACAAAATCAATGTTATGAATATAATAACTTACCCAATCCAATAATTTAACGAAACTAAAATATTCAATAGGTCTCATTTCCCACTTTTCTTCATTTGACTTTTCAGAAACAGTTGACTTTTTTGTCCACCATTCATATAAACTCAATCAAAAACCTTGAAACCAAATCTTGCAGAATCATCACGATGATGATCTCGTTTCTACTCCATCTCCTCTTCCTATGTTTCTCCTCTTTCGCAGCCGCGCAACAGCCTTATGTCGGGGTATCGACAACCGATTGCTCTGTTTCCGACAACTCAACTTCTCTTTTCGGCTACTCTTGTAACGGTCTCAACAAAACTTGCCAAGCTTACGTCATTTTCCGATCTACTCCTCCTTTCTCTACCGTCTCATCCATCTCTTCCCTCTTCTCCGTCGACCAATCTCTCGTCTCCTCCCTCAATGCCGCCTCAACTTCAGCTTCATTCCCTTCCGGTCAACAAGTCATTATCCCTTTAACTTGTTCTTGCTCCGGTGACAATTCACAATCCAATCTCACCTACACAATCCAACCAAACGATTCGTATTTCGCCATTGCTAACGACACTCTTCAGGGGCTTTCGACGTGTCAAGCTTTGGAGAAACAGAACAATGTTTCTTCTCAATCTTTGTTTCCTGGTATGAGGATAGTTGTTCCGATTCGTTGCGCGTGTCCCACGGCTAAACAGGTCAACGAAGATGGGGTGAAGTATCTTATGAGCTATACGGTGGTTTTCGAAGACACTGTCGCGATCATCAGCGAGAGATTCGGGGTCGAAACGAGCAAGACTTTAGAAGCTAACGAAATGTCTTTTGAAAATTCTGAAGTTTTCCCTTTCACCACAATTCTGATTCCTTTGTTGAATCCTCCTTCGAATTCCAACTCTCTCATTCCTCCTCCTCCCCCTCCTCCTCCTCCGCCACAATCGGTTTCTCCTCCATTGTCGCCGGATGGTAGGAAATCGAAAAGGAAAACATGGGTCTATGTTCTTTCCGGAGTACTAGGAGGAGCATTGGTTTTGAGTGTGATTGGTGCAGCTATCTTTTGCCTTGGTAAGAAGAAAACGAAACCGCAAGAGGAAAGGGGAAACCTCGATAGCTTCACGGGCAAGAAACCACCGATGTCCGATCAAGAATTCGATCCGTTAGATGGCTTATCAGGGATGGTGGTAGAATCACTAAAAGTTTACAAATTTCACGAACTTCAATCAGCAACAAGCGATTTCACATCGTCTAGTTCAATGGGAGGATCAGGGTACATCGGAAATATCAACGGCGATGGTGCAATGATCAAGAAAATAGAAGGAAACGCATTGGAGGAAATCAACTTATTGTCGAAACTAAACCATCTCAACATCATCCGTCTCTCTGGATTCTGTCTCCATGAAGGAGACTGGTACTTAGTCTACGAACACGCTTCAAACGGAAGCTTAAGCGAATGGATCCACACGACGAAATCGCTCTTAAACTTGACACAGAAGATACAAATCGCTTTGGATATAGCAACAGGGCTAAACTATCTACACAACTTCGCTGATCCTCCATACGTTCACAGAGACTTGAGCAGCAACAATGTGTTCCTCGACATCGAGTTTCGAGCAAAGATTGGTAATTTAGGTTCAGCAAGATCAACAACAGAAGATTTCGTGTTGACCAAGCATGTGGAAGGAACAAGAGGGTACTTAGCTCCAGAGTATTTGGAACATGGTTTAGTTTCAACTAAGCTTGATGTGTATGCTTTTGGAGTTGTCTTGTTGGAGATTGTTACTGGTAAAGAAGCTTCTGAATTGAAGAAAGAGATCGATGAAGGTAATACGATTGACGAGATTTTGATTCGTGGAAGATTGTTACCTGAAGGATTAGTGAGTTTTGTTGTGAGATTGGTGGTGGATTGTTTGAAGAAAGATCATTTGAATCGTCCATCGATGGATGAAATTGTTATGTCTTTGTCTAAGATCTTGACGGCTACGCAGAACTGGGAAGAATCATCATCGTACTAAGTTTAAGGCCCAATAATGTTTGGGCCTCATTAATTGAACCAGCAACACCTTTGTTCTTTGCTATTGTATACAAAAGGTCATTAAGGATTTAGATGTTGGGTTGGATTTGGTCACAAAAAAAAATGTTGATTAGTTAGGCTGTTGATTAATGTGGTTGTATGAAAATTGGTTGTGAGAAATGTGGCTGAAAATTGGAATAATATCAAAAACGATTTTTATGGTTTAAACTTTGTATGTTTAGTTAATATTTAAGGACTTTTGGATTATCTCATGGTACATTTTCAGTCGAGGTATCAACCCCTGGTCTTAAAAATTAGTTTAATATCACTCATAAGTCATAACTATTACTATCTGTTGATTGCACTAAAAGGATGCAACATATATTTTCTGAATAATTCTTGATAAAATATTGGTTTATTAGTCAGTTGGGAAATGAATCTCACATTTAAGATGAGAGATTATATTCTGATTTTTGAAAATCTAAATTTTAAGAAAATATGTTCTAGCCATTTTTTTATTTGCTAAAATGATTGATCGAAAAAATCCTATACTAATATTTGGGAAGTACATCCTAAGGATCATAACTTAGATTTTGTAAGAAATTACAATATATGCCATTAGAGAATTCTAATCATAAAATTTTATTCCATGTCACTAATATATATAAACGGGTCAACGGGTCAATGGGTTTAAAGATATTAAAAGATTTTGTTTATATAATACATATAATTCGGAAAAAAAATTCTTCAAACGATTACACAATTAATATAATTCGAAAATGTTATATACTAATCAATTCGAAAATGTAACACAATTAGTAAAAATGTTATATACTAATATATTATTCGAAAATGTGATCGTAAATGTTATTGAAAATGTTATTGAAAATGTTATATAGTATTCCATTATTCGAACATGTTATCAAAAATGTTTTTGAAAATGTTAATGAAAATGATATATAATTGTAAGAAATTACAATATATGCTATTAGAGATCTCTAATTATAATTATTTTAATTCCATATCACTAATATGAACCAGTTTATTAAAAAACGGATCAATGGATCAAACGGGTATAAAGATATTTAAAATATTACCTAATATTTAGGAGGCCAATCACGAATCTAACAAACACGGGTCATTGGGTCCTAAGACGGGGTTAAGATTATATTACCTAAACAATATAGAAGAGTTCCTAGAGTACACTTAGCAAATAAATCCTAGAGTTCCAACTTATTTACGAGACTATGCCATTGACATTTATTATTTAGTTTTATAAAATTTAAATAAAAAATATTAACCAAAGGATATCTTGCCTAATCTGTTTCTAAAAATCTCTACACAATCTTTCCATATATCTTCAAAAAATATTTCCGTGAATTTTACTTCACAAAATATGCATAAAACCGATTTATAGCAAATATTTATATTAACATTTTGCATAGCAATAAAAATACTAATTTATAATAATCAAAATATTCACATAGAAAAATCATATACAGATACAAAAAAAGAACTATATCTATCATCATTAAATCCATTGCTTTATTTAAATAAATAAAAAATACAAAATCTTGAAATCATATACTTTATATGGTAAATATAAAATATATATTAGTAGTATAAATTTAAAATAATTCTAGGAACCGTATACCACGGGTGAGTTCCTAAAATTATTGGATTTTATAACAATAATAATTTATTTTCTTGGATTTTATAACAATAATAATTTAGCTAACGGGATAATATAGACGGGTTTACATGGGATGACGGGTTTGGGTTGATATTAATAAAGAACGGTATATCACGGATGAAATCCTAAAATTAACAATCAAAATACAATTATACAATCTTAAACACAAAACAAAACATACAATATTAACAAAACAAATACAACTTAAAATTTAAAAATTTTAGTTATAAAAAATCGACCCACGGTATACCGCGGAGTAAAATATTCAAAATTTTAAAATCAACCATACATCGTTACTTAAAAATGTATGTTTTCGTATCTATACTTCAAAAATGGAAACTTAACCAATAGTAATCATACACTAAATAATACATAGATAGATAGATATCTACTTTGAAAAATATAAATTAATATGATATATCTTCAGTTAATCTTTAGAAAAATAACATTACAACTTTTTTAAAAATGTTAGCCCCGCGGTGTAACGCGGGTTAAATTCTAGTCCTAAATAAATTAGTTTAACTACCATGCGAGTGTTTTAGAATACCTTGAATTTTTTTAGTGTTATTTTTAAAAATTATTAAATTACCATATTCTATAACAAATTATTTTATATGAAAAAAACTTCTTTAAAAAATCATACACGAAAAATACATCACTTATTTACAATTTCTTTACTAATTTTGACCAAAACCTTGGCTATAAATTATTTTCAAAATATATTTTCCCCATTTTATGATAATAAAAAAATATCTTCTCATTATTTCATAAAATGATAATTGAAATGCATAAAATTAGGGAATGAAAGATACTTGAAGTTCGAAGCTTTTGGTTGATGATAGAAGAACAGGCTGTCACGTTTGGGTGGTCAATACACGTGGCACTTTAAGACACGTTGATTCCGACATGGACCACAAATCCCACGTGGCCATGACCATCCTTTGCCTGGCATTGCCACGTGGACCCTATTAAAGTGAGTTTGTGTTTTGTGTGCATAGGACCACTATTTGTTTGATAGATATGAGTATGACCAAGCATCGACTCATCCACATAAAAAAAAAACCACATTACATAATACACACGGCGTTTATTATATATATTATTGTTTTATTCCAATAGTAAAACATTGAAATGGATGAGAATTTTAGCAATGGTTATGTAACTTTAATATGTTGTTGCTTTTAAAGAAAAATGAGTAATGTAGTAGTATATTAGTCATATTTTAAATAAAATGATTTGAACTACAAACGTGTTAGATGAATTTTTGTTGTTGAACTACAAGATGATAAATGTATATTGTTGCTTTTTAGTTCCATATCTCTAAACAATAAAATTTGCAGTGAAAAAAAATGGATGTAGTTCTCAAACATAATTTATAGTAGTAGTTGATCTTCAACATGGGAGATATATCAATTTTCTGTCGTTGCAAATACTTAGGACTTTAACATTGATTCCAAAATTATTTTTTTGTGTTTTTAAATATTTGTATTGATTCCAGTATTCTGTTTTTCAATTGAAAGTGTATTGTTTTTCTAATATATTTTTGAACGATCACGTTTCTCGTATTAAAATCTAGATAGTAAAAAATGTAAGACATTGTTTAATACAAACTTTTAGCTTACACGTTTCAGTCATATTATAGTTTATTGAATTTATATACAATCGGGTTTGTATATATTGAGCATGACTGGTTAAAACTGTAATTTTTAAGTTTTTTTGATGAACTTAATTTTGGCTCCTACTTTTTAAAATGAAAAACTGATCGGTAATTTTTTTTTGTATGTTGTATAGATTAATAATTGTAATGCATATATTGACAACTTTTTTGTCAGCATATATAGCATATTAGAGATTAACATCTTTAGGTAATATAATTTTCTTATGTTCAATATAATTTCATAAATATATGATATCATTTAGCATATGATAGATAGGGGTGAGACCAATTATCCGGGATCCGGGATCCGATCCGGGATCCGCTCCGATCCGCTCCGAAAAACAGGATATCCGGGTGGGGCGGATCCGGATCCGGATAATGAAAAAGCGGATCCGGCCGGATCCGGATCCGGATCCGGATAATAGAAAAATTAAAGCCGGATATCCGGATCCGGGATATTTTATATTATAATAATATTTTTTTAATATTTTATTACTATTATTTAAATTTTATTAATAATTTTTATTATCTTTTATATAATACTCCCTCCGTATTTTAATAATTGTCGTTTTAGGATTTTTATTTTTTTGAATTGGATGTCGTTTTCAAATTTCTATGCAAAATTTATTACTTTTTAATGTTTTATGACATCACAGAGTGTTTGAAAGATAGTCATTTCACTTGGACTCTGGCTGCGGAGGAGAGTTTCCAGTTGAGTGAGAATAGAACAACAGCCATTTTTAAGTAATAAATTTTGCATTGAAATTTGAAAACGACATCTAATTTTTTAAAAAAGAAAATCCTAAAACGACAATTATTAAAATACGGAGGGAGTAATAATACTTTTAATAATATTTTTAATTATTTATGTTAAATTATTTGTTTTTAAATATTTTTCTTTAATTTTATATTAATAAAAAAGAATTTATATAAAAAAACCCGGATCCGGATATCCGCCGGGTATCCGGTTATTTTTACGGATATCCTAAATCCGGATATCCGGGTGGAGCGGATCCGGATCCGGATAATGAAAAGACGGATCCGGCCGGATCCGGATCCGGATACCCTAAAAAAGCCGGATATCCGGATCCGGCCCACCCCTAATGATAGATATTGCATATTCTTTTTAATCCATTATTTTCTATTTTGACATAATTTTTACGTAATACATAAAAAATACCAAATCTTTCCTAGTATAAATACTTATAAATAACTGTAAAGATTTCACATTGCATAATTATTTAATAATTGATTATGTGACAGCCCAATTTAAGATTTTTTCCCTACTCATTGCATATGTTTTCCCCATGTCATGCATGGTCCTAAGTCCTAACTCTTAAGGATGTTGAAAGGCCTGAATTAACCAGTTTGGATCTGAGATATTCAAAGTCAAAATTGCACATCTTTATATATTTATGGACCCTTTCGTATTTAGCTATACCTTTGAACCATCTATTTTAAATATTGACAGAGACATAATTATAACACATTTATAAATAATATAGTCAACTTCAACCACAATATCGTGTTAGAAACGTACAATAATCAGTTATATAAAGTGGTGTTTTATGCACACATATATGATTTTTAATTAAGATTTAAGGATCAAAATCTCTAAACTTTAACCTAGAATGGTCTAAACTCTAAAGTAAAGCTATTCCATTTCTTGAAAGGACAAATACAAGAAGATATTAGTAAAGAAATTTTAAAAGCATGTCATGCCTAGATTTTGAAACTTTCCATGCACAATTTCACATATATAAGTGATAAAATATTTATATTGATA